ATAGAGAGAAAAATAGTAAAAATACCAATGGTAGAACTTTGCAAAATACCTAACATTCATACGGACAGCGAACACACACTACATATTTACATTTATTATTGAATAATTTGACAGACAGTTTCATTATATTTTCTGAAATAATACACATTTACTACCAGTACATTCGCTACTCGCCGATAGATGGCGCGACTCACCACAAACTAATAACATTGAGCAGATATAAAAAATATAAAGGACTTACAACTTATTTTAGATAAATGAGCATCAATTTTGTACAAATTTAATAACCCTCGAAAAGTTAATAGCTTGAATTTGGTTCCCGAATTACACAAAAAACAATATTTCATTTATTCAATAGATGGCGCCACAAAACAAATTAATACTCATTCACATGCAAAAAAACTTCGAAGAATAAAGATTTCACTATACTCATAACTTTTACACACATAAATTATATACCTAGACATTTATTTAATCCTAAATCTACTTGTGCTATTGTCATTGTCACATTTCATTAATTTACAACTTAGCTTATCTTAATGGAAGACATTAAATATTTAATAAGTTGAATATGTAAAACGTAAATTCAACACAATATGCCTCGAATTCAAAGAACATAAAAGTTGCGCGTTTTTAAATGCCGTAAAGTGCAATATAAAATATTTGAAATCTCATTTAACATTTTTACTATGTGTATAGAAAAAAATTTCTTAAAAAGTTAAATAACTGGATAGTTTTTAGAATTAAAAATATTGAAAAATTTATTTACTTACCTACTTATTGCATACATACACTATATTTGCCTAATATTTTAATCAGTTATGATATCTCACTATTTAATGAGACTAAAATAATATAATATATAAAAGTTCATTAACTTAACAAACGTTAATATAAAAATAAAATATTTTTAATTGTAAATAATTACATAAATAAAGCATTTTTATGAATACCTCGTCATTAACATATTTTATAAAATATATAATTGGCAAAATGGGAGATATGTCATATATTATGCGACTGATATACCTAAAATCTTAATTCTTACGTTTGTGAAGTGCCTACAATAATCCAATGTTTACATATTGTCCAAAAAATTTTAAAGAGAAGATACATAAGATTATATTTTTTACACAAATCGTATAAGTATTAAACGGATATACAACGTGTCCCAAAATTCAAGGATAAGCCGGCGCCGCAGGGTGGACATAGTCATAACTGCTTTAGGAAAAATAAGAAAAAATATCTATCTCAATTATTTTTTAAGTTACACAATAAATTATGAAATTCGTCGAAAATTGACACCCCTTATGATATTTTACATTACCACGACTACAATTTTTCAAATAGTTCAGTTTTATTTGTTTGTATCGGCAACTTAAGTAGTGCTGCTGTCCACCCCAATTCTTAAAACCCTCAGAATCCTTGCAATTTTTACACAAAAGTTAATCAAAATATGATATTTCCTTAAAATTTTGAACGATTTTTACTTACACTCCACTTTGACTCGTCGTTTTGTAAAAAAACAGTATGAACACTACTGCGGCAAGTTTTTTATAAAGTTGACGCAACTATCCAAGATTCCGAAATGGTATAATACTCTAAGAAAATTAGTCGCAAAAAAGATATGCGTACCATTTTTACAAGCATTTCGCTTGTAAGTTAGTATGAGATAAACATACTCCATCCAGCTCAATGGTACCATAATATTGCATTGTCATCGTACTTACACAAGTATACCAAATTTCAGCTCAATTGGTTAAGGAGAACTGGTTTTAAATTCAGTTGAAAGATTTATCCCATACTAACTAACAAGCGAAGTGCTTGTAAAAATGGTACGCATATCTTTTTGCGACTAGTTTTCTTAATGTATTATACCATTTCGGAATCTTGGACAGTTGCGTCAACTTTATGAAAAACTTGCCGCAGTAGTGTTCATACTGTTTTTATACAAAACGACGAGTCAAAGTGGAGTGTAAGTAAAAATCGTTCAAAATTTTAAGGAAATATCATATTTTGATTAACTTTTGTGTAAAAACTGCAAGGATTCTGAGGGTTTTAAGAATTGGGGTGGACAGCAGCACTACTTAAGTTGCCGATACAAACAAAAAAACTGAACTATTTGAAAAATTGTAGTCGTGGTAATGTAAAATATCATAAGGGGTGTCAATTTTCGACGAATTTCATAATTTATTGTGTAACTTAAAAAATAATTGAGATAGAATTTTTTTCTTATTTTTCCTAAAGCAGTCATGTCTAGGTCCACCCTGCGGCGCCGGCTTATCCTTGAATTTTGGGACACGTTGTATAAAATTAATAAATTGTAGATTTACTAAGAATATTTTAATTTCTTTATTTTTGCAAATAAATTATTGAACTTTAATATAACTATGGGATAGTAACATTCAAGAGTAGCAGTGAGGGCAAAGAGGTGTTATCATAACTGAGAATTTATATCAACTATCATCATCAGAATGCTATTGATGCAAGTTTTGGAAAACTGGGCACTTCTTATTTATACCTAGATATAAGTACATACAATAATATAATATACTTAACGCTATGCGTTTATATTCTTTAGACATTCACATACAAGCTTTAAGCGAATAATACATAAACTATTAAAATCATGAAACATTTGAAAACCTCAAAATCTAGGTTCTTTTATCACAAAATTTGATTACAAAGAAAAGTAGGTACAAGGTATTAAGTTTTTATATAATTTAAATATAAATTATACTCGTGTAAAGATCTTAATTCTCTTTCCATTCCGACTAAAAAAAAATATAATATGACTGCTTTGCGCAAGAATATAATCTCAATAATTACGGCTTTAGAATTTTAACACCAAATTTTTCTTACAAATATATTTAATGGCAGTTGAAAGCTAATGCGTTACTAAATAATATAATATAATATTATATTTATATAACTTTTTTATTGGCTTCTACTTGACTAGCGAGTCTTAGGCCTATTTGGATTAGCGCATTCATTAATACTTCATGAAATGTCAGATTAAAATTACACTATATAAGTAAATACCTTTCATTTGTCAAATAAAATAATATAATCATATCGTTAAAGTGTAACCCTACAGATGTTGTTCACTAGATGGCGCTCAGTGTTTTAAGGGGTCTATTTATCATACGCAGAAGTACTTGTTCCACTATTAAAGAGAAAGAGAGCGTTTTGCAAACTACAATATTATTCTTATTTGACAAATGAATTCAAGAAAATATATTTTCAATGTAACACTCCACACTACCCACATTTATATCCTACAGAACAACAACAACCGTAACAGATTTTATATAATATAACATAGACAGTTTTAATAATGTATATGTAATTTATATACACATTTATGTGTATGCCAAATTTTGGAAGCGCTTGGGAAGACAATCACAATAGTTCTTAAAGAATATAATTATAGGGTTTTTGCTTTATAAATAATTCGATAAAAGCTGTAATAAAATGCAATAAAAATATATCTCTACTCGTTGCACGTTAAGTAAATAGATACATACATTTATTTAGATGTTCTAGGCGTTTCTTAGTTTACTCAATTCCATCCACATCATACATTTGTGACTATGTTTTCCTCTATTTGTAAGACTTCCATGTTTTCTTTCCATTAAATGTGATTTAATATTAACACCTATTTAAAATACCTGAGCACTTTGTAAAGGCCTATTTCATGAACACAAATAAAAATTCAATTTAGAAGTTAACTTAGTTTTTAGGGTTCCAAACGTCAAAAGGGAAAAATGGAAACCATAACGGTTTAAACGTAAAGGAACACCTTGTTGTCCGTCAGTCAAAATGTCGACGCTTTTTTCTCGAAATTCATTGGAGAGGTCACTCTGTGGGCCGTAATATTCCAGACCCGTACGGCTAGCAGGAAAAACGTTCGAGTTGGTATTCGAATTACCATCAAAAGATTCAGTACGAAAACTTACAACACCGCCCTTGTGAACGTGTCGTAAAGTGAACTTAGTATTAGAAATGGTAGCACGAAATTTATTTTGAGAATCAAAAATGTCACGTTATCGTTTAATTCGAAGGTTGAGTATCGAATTTTGTCGAATACGCAAACGATTCGAAGACGAAAGTTGTTCATGCTAGAGGTACTGGCCATAAACAAAATAAAAAGAAGACGAAGGAATGCGTGGAGGTACCAAGTTAAAATTTACATGAAATATTTAAGTAGGTATAATTAGTCTCTTGAAGCTTTGAAAACATCACGCTTCTAAGTCTAAGGATACGGCCATTGGAGCCTTATTTTTTCCCAAGGACATACAAACCTATAGGGTAGGTACTTCCCATAGATCTAGAATCAAAAGTTTTAATTTTAGGCCTTCACAAAGGACTTCGGTCTTCTATTATAATTGATTACTACAATGAATAGACACAGGAACCTCGCACTCGCTCATTCATTACATTTGAAACTGGAAGATGACAAACTATCAAGAAACATGGAAGTAATTGCTATAGTTATTGTAACATCAACATTCAGGCTCAGGCATTCTTTAAAAAAAGTCTATTTTATACAAATCTACTGCTACAATACAGTTAAAGTCCAAATTAGAGAACCGTGACGCAATATTGGGGTCCTCATATTATATTTTTATGACGTCAATAAATAACTTTTTCTAATTAAATCTCTGCATCATAGAGAAGAAAAACTATGCATCAAATAAGTACCTAAAGAGAGTACCGAATGACTTGGAGAAGAGTGTGAAAAATCTTTTGAAATACTTTACTAGAAAGGAAAATAAGAAACAATACGCTGAGCGCCTATTTCATTTCTTTGCTTTTCGCCAACGAATGATTTCCAAATTTTAATTTAACTAAAGGTTCGGCCAAACCAACGCGATCACACGCGATCAGCCGGCGTATAGCGATGGCGACCAGACTAAAATACGTTGATCGCCATCGCTGCACGCCGGCTGATCGCGAGTGATCGCGTTGGTTTGGCCGAACCTTAAGATACTCCTACTCCTACATCCAGTTAAGTTGATTAAACTTTAAAATCAAATCGGAAGAAGTAAAATTTACTTGCTCATGGCTCTAAGCTACCGCCTCAAACCATTAGAATTTTTATATCTCGTGCAACCTAAGTGTTCGCATGAGACCGCGGTAACAATTATTTTCTATTCGGTACTTGAAGGGCTAAACTTTTCCTGCATCTTACACCTGCATCCTATACATTGGCTGCCGCGACACAAGCACAGCTTAGTGCAGCAGCCGCCTGAAAAATAGACTAATTTTGTAATCCTTTTGTTGGCAAATAAAATACTTACTTTTACTTTTTTATCTCAAATCTCAAACCCCAACACCACGCCACGTAACCACCTCAAACTGCTTAATCCACCACGATGTCCTGTCCGAGCCTGTCCATCTCGGACAGCAGGAAGTCCACGTCCTTCTCAGTGACGGCGGCCGAGGATATGATGTTCCGGAAGAAGTTCGGACGGCGGTCGTCGGGCTGGTAGCCCACCATGATGGTGCCGGCCTGCATCATCTTACCTTTGAGCTTGGCGCACACCTGTGAAGGGTAGAAGCTTTAGATTGACAGCTGGAAGAAAGCTACCACACAGATGGGAGTGGCATTGTCCTAAGGCAGTTCGTTCGTCGTTCGTTTCAGCCATATGACGTCCACTGCTGGACAAAGCCCTCCCCCAAGGATTTCCATAACGACCGGTCCTTAAACCTTCTGGACTTCTGGAAGGCAGTATCGTGATCTTAATTCACCTAATAGTCAAGTCAGCGTTGCAAGATTGCTATAAAAATTCAAACCGTGTAAACAGTTTGATCAGGAGAAAAATTTAAGGCAAACCAAAAGCCGCAATAATGTGGATTCCTCTGAACCAATTTACTTCCCCAGTTAATAAGATTTTAACTTTCTAAAAACCTGAAAATTAATAATCGATTGCTTTAGGTGGGAATTGAATCCACGACCTTTCACTGGGTGAGCGAAGTGTTGAAAAACTACTTCTTCGTACATTAATCATCACCTGGTGCAACGAATTTTCTGAGTAGTTTGGTTGTATTATGTCCTAATAAATCATTGGGGGAGGCCTTTGTCCAGCAGTGGTCATTCGCTGAAACAAACTGATGTCCATTCCATTACCTTCCCCAAAAGGATTTCCTTGTTCTTATCATGAGGGATGCCACGTAGCTGCTTCGGCAGGTACCAGAAGGACACGTTGACCATCTCGGGCTCCAGGATGAGGTGGAAGCGGTCCGGCTGCTCCTTGATCCGGCGCACCATGTACTCCGCCAGCTCCATGATGCGATCCATGAGGCGTTCGAAGCCGGAGGTGCCCTGGGAACGAGGTGGGTCTTTGAACAGGCAGTTATTATAGTGTTTTGAAGCTTATTGTTTCACGTCCAAAAACAATAAAGAGAGTGTAAATGAATAAGGGAGGCACTTTTTGTGCAATAAGGAATTTCGTGCTTTATTAAGCTGGATATTATTAACTGCAACAGGAAAAGCACAGAACTTCACGCAAATCGTAAGTTAGTCATGAGCGCACGATTGCCTGAAAAATACCGAACGTCGTCATTGGCTTTCTGGTTATAATACTGGTCATGAACTTACTTTTAGAAAAGGTTAGCAAGGGGAAGGGGGTTTTAGCTGTGACTAAGAATGTGTTTGGAGTCATCAAAACCTAGGAAAAAGTGAAAATGCGGTTATAGCTCTCTTGTAGCCATAATATCAGTGAAACTGAATCTTTTTAAAATCTTAAAGCGCCTATAACCTTGATCATTCACTGCAGCTAAAGCTTAAGATGCCATCAACACAAGCAACAGCAAAATTGAGCCTTATATTGTAACTCCCAGCAACATGTTCCCATTCCTTGCTTTTTCTAAATCCTGGAGGTGTTATTTTGGCATTCTTGTTCCTATAATAGCATGCTGCGTGACTCCGAGCCTTAAAATGAAGCCTTTACAGCCTATATTAGCTCACCTTGCCTCTCCACTGCAGCCACAGCTTGAAGATGTCGTTGTGACGGCCGCACTGGATGACCTTGTCTCCAGTGTCGTAGCGAGGGTCATAGATCTTGTCCGTCATGAACAGGTATTCAGCAGACATGGCGTTGCAGCTCAGTAAGATGCCCTGGGAACAAGGTCAAGTCGTGAGTACAGTACAGCCAATTCTGTAAGGTAGGCTGGGAACATAATTGTAAAAAGTCTTGAGTAAAAATATTCTGTAAGCTTAAAACTGTGCTCTCAGGGTTTTCAGAAAAGATAGTTTTTTCTAGCAATAACACACTTTCTTTTCTTTCATTGATTTTGTGGTGTGCAATAAAGAGTAATAATATCAATGTACTTGTATGCTTCAAGGCAGAAGAAACCTATGATCACAAACGTAACAAATTGTAACACAAAATCATCATAAGCTCATAGAGAGAACGAAGATAAATAATGCTCCCGACATTTTTTTTCACCGTTTCGTAAAGCGATCGCAAATTTTAATCTACCAAAGAACGCGAATCGATCATAACAATAGATCGAAACTAGTGGCAGTTAAACTCCATTTCATGATAGCTGCTTAACTTCTTTTTAAGGTCTTGTATATCAACATAAATAAAAAATATCATGCATGTGTATAATAATAATCACATCATTGCCTATCAAAGGCAAATATCATAATTGGAAGAGCTTCTTCTGCTCTTTATACATTAAGATTTTTGCCTTTTCACAATCCTGCACTATTTGAGACTATGTCGCATGTTGCTGCCAAATCATTTGAAATGGCACGTTTTAATAGATAGGGTGACGTCACACCTCAACTGGGGGGTAGTCAATAGAATTCTATCCTCTTCCTACAAACATTCCGACATATCCTACCCGCATAACTTTGTATTACACGCTCCCCCAACTACTTAACATACCTTCACAGCTTCAGGCGAAAATCGACCTTCTTCCCTAAGCATTAAGTGGATACAACTTAAGATTTCAAGAGCGATATTCAACCTTAAGTGTATGGCTTAAGGGTGTGGATAATTGAATGGATTAGCGGTTGTAAACGCCAACTCAATATGCTAAGTAATAAATCGTGTGACTCCGCCCCCGCGCCAAACTTTTCCGGTAGAGTGGGGAAAAATTGGGAGATACCGATATTGTAATTTATTCCTTACATTTTGATAGATGAAAGAAGTTGTTTTATAAAAACTTTCTGCCAAATCAGCAACTTGACAATAAAGTAAAATACAAGTTTTATCAAAATTAAATGTATTTTTCTCTTTATCTGTGCCTGTTATTAATAAACTAGCTGTGCCCGCGACTTCGTCCGCGTGGAATAATGACTTTGGGTAGGCACTTTTATTAATTTAGTCTAATTATTTTACAAATAGCTTTTGCCCGCGACTTCGTCCGTGGAGAAGTCGAAAACGTTCTCATACGATTATTTTTAAATGTTTTAACGTTATTATCTAAATGTTTGAATACTTTTAAAATATAAAAATCAGGTTAAATAAACATGAAAATATTTTTTTCTTATATTTTATGAATATGCAGCTCGGCCTTTGATCCGGTGAACAAAATCGAAAACTACACCTACCGCAGTATTATTGGTAAACTTTTTTTTTATATTTTCCTACGGGTGCTAGAATCACCAAGCTTCCAGCATGCCACTGGCCGTGGGAGAAGGAGCTTTTCCTCAAGACTACTCCCACTACCTCAAGGGCCTCCGCCAAAACTCTCGCGCGAAAATGAGTTTATGTATACAGCGCAAGCAGGTGCCCGCGGCATGACTTTCATGCATTACTATGCATTGTTGGGCGAGCGCACGCAGCGGGCACCCACTCCGAGGTTAAGTGGAGGCCCCTAGAGTATGGTAGTCGTTAACATGACGTCATGATTGTAAAAAATGCACTAATGAGTAATTAATATCAACTTTGAAGCAAATCACCACTAAAATAACTTTCTACCCCTTTTTAACATAGTTAGGGGGTGCATTTCACTAAAATACGAAACACGTCTTCCATTAATTCTGTTATAGAATGCTTATGCAAAATTTTAAGTAGATTGGACGAAGGAATCTCGTTATTTCATACAAACTTTGCCCCTCCTTTTTACCTCCTTAGGGGTAGAATTTTGGAAAATCCTTTCTTATCAGATGCTTACGTCATATAAAGAACATACCGTCCAAGTTTCAGGTCTTTACGATCAGCGGTTTAGGCTGTGCATTGATCCATCAGTAGCGCGCGTAGTACTTGATCATTATTTTGCTGCGATGTGATTTTAAAACTGCGATATCATTAACATAACATTAACCCTTCAAATACTTTGTGAAAATTACGTGGGCCAGTGATAAGCAGCGAAAAAGTTTCAGACACACTTTCACGTTATTTACTGAGTTTCCAATCTGCAGTTTCCGAAAAAACGATCGTGAAGTTATCAGGCGCTTAAATATTATTATGAACTGTTTACAAACAGTTTCATCATCGTCACCATCATTTTTCAGCCACAGGATATACTGTCCTTCCCTAATTATTTCCAGATTGACCGATTGGCATGGCAGCAGCCTGCATAAAGCGCCTTCCTGCTACCTTTAAGAGGCCATGTGTCCACCTTGTGGGTGGATGTCCTACGCTTGCCATCTTTCTCGAAATCAGGCCTAAAAATAGTTTATCGATATCCCCTTCTCCCCGCCCTATCCAGCGGCGGCACGTGCCATGTTTAATTAAATTCCTTCGCCGACACTTGCCAGCATATGTTGCCAATTTGCCCTCCTCTCCTCCGTTGACATCTACTCGCATTTAGAGCCTTAATCCCAAAGGAATACGTTTTAAATTTCAGCTTTGATTGCTCTTTTTTGAGTGTAAGTTTTTTGGTGAAACTTTTCTATTGGAAAATTGGGAACTAATTTGAAATAACAATTTCTTATTGCAATTTTTATTATTTGTTTTCTGCTACGCTTTGCTCAGCAAGTATTTTTATGAACATTTCTTGCATCGAATGCTTTTTAAAAATTCTTTTTTTTTATAAATTTTGTTTCTACAAGTAGGCTTTTAAAAAGCACTTACTCGTTCCAGTATTAACTCTACCACTGCTGCAAGAAGCAGCGCAAGAAACTCAGTCACTATTGTCAGCCTCTTTTTCAAGGATTTACAGTCTTCATAAAATACATAGTCTTATAAATATTGATGTGAGCTAGTAGTATGCATACAGGACTATTCCCACCTCTCGCTTCAACTCCTGTGTAGCCAGGATCTACAGCTTGACCGCCAATAAAAACACAACCAGTGAAGGTCAAGTTTGTCTGGGAAAAGTTAAACGGTCATTGGACCCGCAACGAAATTAATCAGAAGAACATAGGAGGAGTTCGAAGTAGGAGCACAGGTAGGAGTATGCATGTGAGTCTATTCGTGGGGTATAAGGAGAAATTGATACTAAATAAATATATTTTATTTCTTTCAAATTAACAAACAGGTACCTATTAAATGGCCTAACAACGAAGTAGACAAAAGCTTTTATCCACAGACATCGTTTACGAGTCTACCCTGCACTTAATGGCTTCTGCGTATAATTGATTGCGTGATTATGAAGCTAATTATAGGAGGCATTAGAGGGGACACTAAGGGGCAGTTTTGGTTTGATCTGATTGAGAAATCAAATAACAAAAAATTGCCAAGCATAGACTCAGTCAAAATCCTCTAAAATGATATTTTTTTGGACTTTTTAAAGTGTAAAACGGTGGAACTTACATAACACCAGATAGCTTCAAAAGTATCTAAAATTTTATTTCTGAACGTAACAGTTTCTTTCCTTTATTAACATACCTACCATTCCACTGATGGGCAAAAGGTCTCCTTAAATTTTCCATCGACCGATCCCGATCTAAGACTCCCAGTTCTTGTTTTGTTGACTACTCACTATCTTTCTTGAACCTTTTTAACTTACGCTTAACAAAACCAAAGACTTTTTTATCAACAACGAGAAAGCTCTTGGCCTGCATCTTACTGATGGAAAGTGATGATCAGGTCAAAGGTTGAATATTATATAATTTTGACTTCGCTGTATTGACTTGTAAAAACAGACTAATTATAATTTATACACGCCGAATATTGGTAAGACATGTTGATACTAACAAAACCTACTAACACCAAAAATATATTTCTGTATTGCAATATTATCCACACATGTTCTGATAAATAAAAATATCTTTATCTTTAAGGTGGAAGCTGGCTTCACCTGAAAATCCTCAACCACAGAGGAACTGGCTAACTTCTAACTGTCGAACTTAATCGACATAATTCTTTATTTGCAGGCTATTGACTCACCTCGTACTTGAAGTGCACAGTGGAGCACTGCAGCAGGGTGCCCATCAGCTTGTGAGGGTTCCAAGTCACGGAGTCGGCCCTGTGGGAGAAAAGTAAATTGTAAGTATTGTACAGACGCATTATAACACTCATCCTGTATAGCATTTAGTTCTAAAATACTACCTAGGTCTACTTAATATACGATTGTTGAACAACAAAATCGTTTTGAAGAAATTACAATACTTCTTCAGTATATCAAATCAAATCAAAACTTTCTTTTTCAGGGCGCTTATACGCGTCCCAAATACGGCTTGTCTTACCACCATTTCGGGACAACATATTATGGGCTGGTGCTGAGAAGAAGTGGCGGAAGAAAATAGTCACCCAGTTGACTCACAACGATTTCATTCAACTACCAAAACGACAAGTCGCTAGTTCGATTTCCGTCTACCGCTGGATTATTGACGTGCAACCATTCCTAACATTATCTTATGTGAAGAAGTTAACGGGAATATGTGTAGGTACCAGTAAAATACGAAACTTCTTTTCGAAAGACCTACACAGAGCGATTTTTAACAAACCAAAGCTTTTGCAAATACAATTTGCATACTCAAACCTCGCTCTTGATTTTAAGTAAACATTAAAAACAATTAACACTAGAGACAAATCCGTTTATTTAAATTACCTTCTGTTATAACAAACAAGTTAAAATGCATATTAGTTGGTTATCAACTCCCGCAGAAGGGTGCAAATATTGGAGAGAACTATCAGCTGTTGACTCAGCCGGGATGCGAACCCTGATCCCCTTTAAAGGCTGGGGTTGATCGGTTTAAGGCTGGGCGTTACACCGAACGAAATTAATTGAGAAAAAATTGCAATAATAATGTTCGTTGGGAATTTGACTGCAATGAATGGTAACAAATGGATTGTTTTACTATTTTCCACAATCATTAATGTACACAATAAATATGTAGCTATGTACAGTCGCAGAATGAAAAGGTTCGTCACCTTAGTGTCGGTTTTCGCTTGCACTAGGTACTGTAAAAGTCAAACCTGCCAACATAACAGTGCAAGAAACAGTGCTGCTAACATTTAAATAAATATGACGTTTGCTAACAAATGAGGTTTTGCTTGTTTATTTTTCTATCCCATCAGTGCAATGCAATGATGATATTGACCAATTGACAATAGTTTTTTTTTTTATTTAATAGAAACAATAATGGCAGGTTGAACCAACAAGAAGGTTTTAGTTTATCAATCATAATAATCTTCTTGACAAGATAAATCGTCAAACAACTTTGATCTGGATAATTTTGAACTTTACTGACGAACAGTTAAAGATTATTTTCTCTAACTCGAGATTATTCTGTAACATAGTTTCAAAAGGTAATATGTGCTCGCGATTCGTTGAAGGAATCAATTTGAAAACTGACGAACCTTTTCAATGCGCACCCGAAACTAACAGTCATAATCTATCTTCTATATAAATAAAAATGAATTGCTGTTCGTTAGTCTGATTAAAACTCGAGAACAGCTGGGCCGATTGAGCTGATTTTGGTTTTAAAATGTTTGTCTAGTCCAGGGTAGGTCTAAACGGTGAGCAAATAAGGAAAAATTGCGATGACTTATTTATTGCCTTTAAGGCGGAATAGAGTTCGCCCGGTCAGCTAGTAAGTAATAAAAAAAATAAAAAAACTCTTTCAAACTTATGTTATTATTAGGTACTAACTAGTTCTTACAGTAGGTACCTATGTTGTATGCTTCGTAGGTACTTAACATTTTTGTGTGAGACTGGTGCCTAACACTCATAATGACATCAATATTACTGTCCTTCCTTCCTTTGAAATGAATCATTCCTTCATTCCAATCGTAATGACATTATTGAATGATTTCTCACCGTAATACTTGCCATAATATGTTTGTCTCGAAGCGCTGGTAGGGCCCAAAAGATAAGGAGACATGTAAAGTGCCCCTTTGCTTTTTACTATATTTTGACGATCTTAAGTGCCACTTGTGGTCTAAACTGAATAAATATTTTTGATTTTGATTTTTTTTTATTTTGATTTTGATTTTGATTTTGAATTAATGATAGTAATATACACACGTGTAAGTATATAGATTGCGTTACAGTTCGGTGTAAAAGCAGCCGCTTTAAATCCTTTTGATGGATGGTCCGAGAGCTCGGGAATGTTGCGTTTTTGTTTTTTATCCGGAGGGGGCAATTAATCAGGGAGGGCTGTGAGTGACAGCGGAGTGCTTGAGAGTGCTTAATGAGGACCGCTTGAGGAAGATACGGGCGACTGGATTTGGGACATGTCTTATTTACAAATCAAGAGTGCTGATTGAGTATGTAAGTCAAAATAATTCGATATTTTTTTGCATATAAAACCTCCTTGAATATAATCGAGTAGAATTTGTATGAGACGGCGTTTCATACAAATAAACATTATGGCTGAGTTGCACCACCTAACTTTAACAGTAACAATAACGATAACCGGTGTTTTTGTATACAGATTTTTGACGTTTGTCAAAAATTTAGTTATAATTATGTATAATAAATACGATAGTGAAATTAGGCGTACTTCGAACGGCTAGTGTGACATCATATCTCAGTTTTCAATTCCAGAAGAACCTAAGCTTTTATTGTTTCGTGAAAACGAAATTTATGTAACCGACACATTTACAAGTCGCAAAAGCTACAAAAATTTGCATTAAAATAATCAAAGTGAAAGTTTAATAAAGTTTCTTTCTACAAATAGTCAAAACTAGCTTTCCGCCCGCGGCTTCGCCCGCGTGGAATTTTGTCTGTGACAGAAAAACGTTATAGTATAAGATCCCGCTATACAACGACCTTCACCGAGATGCTTATTTGATGAAACATATTTTATATTCAATTTAACATGTCAATAATTATATTGCTTAAGGGTTGCCTAATAAATTTCAGTCCAGGATATGATTAATTAATCATTAAAAAAAGTTTTATTTTTAAATATTTCATCGGTTTGATTATTAAACAAACTCCATACCAATCGAAAGTATGAAGCCCATAGAATATGCAAACGTTAGGTTGCCTATTCTTTTCCAGTCATAACTCTCGGGTTGCCAGGTATAAACAGGTAAATTGATAGAGCATTTTGCATCGGTCTGATAATTTAATCAAATATAAATGAAAATAAAGATTATTTCATTATGAACACGGTGGTATAGGGTTGCCTGCGAAAAATCAGTCCTGAATGACGGTTGTCGAATTTTGTAAAGTGAAATTAAAACTGAAAGGTGACATTTTTCGAGTAGTTGGCAACATTTGGGAAAGACGAGTTGTATGAGGCGTTTGTGTGTCTTGTCAAGAGGTGTCGCTTGGGTGAAGAAATTTCTCCAGTGTTGCCATGCTTTCGGAGATTTGGTCCAAAAATGTCGAAAGTGGAAATAACGACTTCCGGTCAAAAATTTGGATGACGCCTCCTGCAAAAGGGTCGTACAAATGACATTTGACCATTTTCATCTCGATCACCTGGCAACACTTGCAGCTATGGGGAAAAGTATTTTTTTTCGACATGGGTGTCTTTAAAGTTAAGGACGGACAGAAGGAGATATGGCAGAAAAAATCCAAAAATGGGGTTTGGTCGGTTATACGACCCAAATTATGGGAAAAATCCGAAAATTCAGAAAATCAAGATGGCGACCGAGTGAGCGGCCATTTTGTAAAAAGTTTCAGATTTCTGATTTTTCAAATGCATTTTTTGGGCAGTTGGCAACATTTGGGAAACTCGAGTTGTATAGAGCGATTACGTAGTTTGCTAAGGAGTATCGTTTGGAAAAACAACATTTTCCAGTGTTGCCATACTTATTGCATTTTTCGCTTAATCTAGACCATTTTCCGCGCCGAAACCCATTTTTACTTTTTTTCTAACTTAAACCAATCCCGTGAAACAATTCCTTAAAACCACCCAAGTCCCAAAATTTTGTGGCCCCGTAACTGCCAGTGTTGCCAGGTAATCGAGATAAAAATAGTCAAATGTCATTAGTTTGACCTATTTGCAGGAGGCGTCATCCAAATTTTGGACCAAAAGTCGTTATTTCCATTTTTTACATGTTTTGACCAAATCTTTCAAAGTATGGCAACACTGGAAAATGTTGTTTTTCCAAACGATACTCCTTAGCAAACTACGTAATCGCTCTATACAACTCGAGTTTCCCAAATGTTGCCAACTGCCCAAAAAATGCATTTGAAAAATCAGAAATCTGAAACTTTTTACAAAATGGCCGCTCACTCGGTCGCCATCTTGATTTTCTGAATTTTCGGATTTTTCCCATAATTTGGGTCGTATAACCGACCAAACCCCATTTTTGGATTTTTTCTGCCATATCTCCTTCTGTCCGTCCTTAACTTTAAAGACACCCATGTCGAAAAAAAATACTTTTCCCCATAGCTGCAAGTGTTGCCAGGTGATCGAGATGAAAATGGTCAAATGTCATTTGTACGACCCTTTTGCAGGAGGCGTCATCCAAATTTTTGACCGGAAGTCGTTATTTCCACTTTCGACATTTTTGGACCAAATCTCCGAAAGCATGGCAACACTGGAGAAATTTCTTCACCCAAGCGACACCTCTTGACAAGACACACAAACGCCTCATACAACTCGTCTTTCCCAAATGTTGCCAACTACTCGAAAAATGTCACCTTTCAGTTTTAATTTCACTTTACAAAATTCGACAACCGTCATTCAGGACTGATTTTTCGCAGGCAACCCTATACCACCGTGTTCATAATGAAATAATCTTTATTTTCATTTATATTTGATTAAATTATCAGACCGATGCAAAATGCTCTATCAATTTACCTGTTTATACCTGGCAACCCGAGAGTTATGACTGGAAAAGAATAGGCAACCTAACGTTTGCATATTCTATGGGCTTCATACTTTCGATTGGTATGGAGTTTGTTTAATAATCAAACCGATGAAATATTTAAAAATAAAACTTTTTTTAATGATTAATTAATCATATCCTGGACTGAAATTTATTAGGCAACCCTTAAGCAATATAATTATTGACATGTTAAATTGAATATAAAATATGTTTCATCAAATAAGCATCTCGGTGAAGGTCGTTGTATAGCGGGATCTTAGACTATTATATCTCTATGCCAAACATCAAAATTGGTTTAGTGGTTTAGGCATGAAAGCGACACAGACAGACAGAGTTACTTTCGCATTTATAATATTAGTAGGTATAGATAAAGAGAAAAAATACTAATACATATTAAAAAAACTTAAAGTTAGAGCTAAAGGCTTTAACTTTAAGTTTTTTACATTATCTCATAATCTTTTTGCCCTACCAGCGCTAATAAAACGTTACTATTTTTATTTCCCTCTTATTTCTAAATACGATCGGGTAAAAATAACTGAAGCCGTGTTCAGTCAAGCATGTAGCAGCTACGGCGTAGCTCGTAGCAATTAATCGTAGACGCTTGAGTGACGTGCGAGCTGCTACGTGCTACGACGCTACGATTCTTGTAGCCGATGTTTAATCCTTGATTTTCTAGGGTTGCTCTCATTTTTACAACTGAGTATTTTTACTTTGTCATTTACAAAGCATTGATATTTGATATCTTTTGTGAAAGTATTGGTATATACATTTTTATTTTTTCTAAAAACGTGAGTTATGAATCACTATTCATAATCTCTATATTTTTTTTATTCATCCTACTAATATTATAAATGCGAAAGTTTGGATGTCTAGATGTCTGGAGGTTTGTTACTCTTTCACGCAAAAACTACTGAACGGAATTTGATCAAACTTTACAGTATTATTGTTTATAACCCAGATTAACATATAGGCTATAATTTATGACGATCTGTGATAAACTAAATTTCATGCGGGTGAAGCCGCGGGCAAAAGCTAGTAAGTCATAAAAATCCCTCGCGTCGTGGTAAGCTAAATGTGCTTTTGTGACGAGTGGTTGCACCATAGTATTCCGGTGGCAGCGGGGTTTGAAACATCGTTCCTCGGATCTCGAGTCGGCTATTCCACCTTCATTATCGTGGCTTCAAAATTGTATTGTCATTCACATAATTATGAAGATTAAATTTGAAAAGGCATCAGTTTAAAGGTTATACTTGCCAAATATTGGTCTCAGAGCAAAACGATTATGAGACATCTAAAGGCTCTTGTCTTTTTTTTTACTTCAAATATTTGACTAATAGTGTCTGAGTTTCTTGCGCTGCTTCTTCTCAGCACTGGCCCATTTATTGTCCTGAAGCAGTGGTAGGGTTAATACTGGGACGTGTAAAAGTGCTTTTTTAAAGCCTACTTACAGAAATAAATGAGTTTTACTGAGTTTTTACTGAGTTTATTTGTAAGTACCAAGGGTGATTCCATATTAAACTTTTGCTCGTAAGTATAGTTAGTGGCAGCCCTGGCCCGCTTGTCACCCGGTCGGGCGCGCATATTGGCGCACGTTTAGCGCCATCTGCGCGTGATTGATGGCACTAATGCGCGAAAGCCCGCCCGCCGCATTACCGAGTGGATTCCGATCAAACCGTGGTTTTAAATTGTCTACTTTTATTAATGCATTTCTATCCACTGAAGTTCGGTGCTAAAGTAACTGTTCGCTCGTTTTTTATTTGTTTTTTTCGTGAAAAAAGCTACATGAATCTACGGTGTGTTTACACAACCATCATCATCATCATCTCAGCCATAGGACGTCCACTGCTGAACATAGGCCTCCCCCAATGACTTCCACATCGCACGGTTGGTAGCAAGCTGCACCCAGCGCCTTCCTGCTACCTTTATCAGGTCGTCGGTCCACCTTGTGGAAACAATACAGAAACAGAAACTGTAGCAAACGCACCACGATTAAAAGGCGATTGGTGGCTTCCTGCTACACCTGGATCAAACCGTAGAAGGCTTGCCGGTAAAAAGGGATCGATGTTCTGTACGAGCAGTACGCAGTGACAAAATACTATGCACTCACGTACCTTGAGCAGATCGTTGACAGTTCCACCTCGAGTATGGGCAGCAGCAGTTGGGAATTCCTTCGGTTTCTAGCACATTTGGGCGTGTAGATGATGAGGTAAGTTGAGATCACATGGGAGGGTGACTAGCACACGCGTCGACGGGCCCGTTGGATACGAATAGAAGATGGCGATGTGACCGGTGCGGCCTCCAAAGCGNTAAAAGGCGATTGGTGGCTTCCTGCTACACCTGGATCAAACCGTAGAAGGCTTGCCGGTAAAAAGGGATCGATGTTCTGTACGAGCAGTACGCAGTGACAAAATACTATGCACTCACGTACCTTGAGCAGATCGTTGACAGTTCCACCTCGAGTATGGGCAGCAGCAGTTGGGAATTCCTTCGGTTTCTAGCACATTTGGGCGTGTAGATGATGAGGTAAGTTGAGATCACATGGGAGGGTGACTAGCACACGCGTCGACGGGCCCGTTGGATACGAATAGAAGATGGCGATGTGACCGGTGCGGCCTCCATAGCGTGACTGCCCTCAAGTTGTCAATAAAATTCCAACTCGAAGGACGGAGCGCATAAGCAGCCTAGTTTGACTGCGTTTTGTCACTACATTGATACTTATGCAGAGACATCGATACCCGCGATTATTATGAAAATTAAACGAAAAGTTACGATGACGGAACAGAAACAATACCAAATTCTTATAATCATCACCATCATTATCACCAGGTCATTTAGTCCACTGCAGGACCTCGCATCTCTCCCTGTCCATATTGTAATAAATGTATATTTCTAATTTACCAGAAGCTAATGAAGGATTTGGCATGTACTTCCCACGCTGGTCAGACGGGTTGGGGAAGAGGGAGGACATTTTGCTAGAAAAACATTGTTAAACAAATGAAATGTAGTCTGATCGGGCATGGGTTACCTAAATTAATAAATAAATGAAGGAATACATTATTGCAACTTACCTCTCAATGCCAGTGAGGCGGGGATGGCGGTATTTCTTGGAGAACAGCAGACCACCTCCCCAGGCGGCCTGGTGGAACAACAACAATGTTTATCATCAACATCTGCATTTTTTTTCGAATTATATGATAGGGCTTAAAACGTGCCCGTAACCGTGTAAACGTAACTTGAAGTTATTTTAGGTAACATCACTAGACAAATTAAATACAAAAAACATCATCATCATCATCATCTCAACCATAGGACGTCCAACATAAAACGTAATCGTCTCAGATTTTGCATGACTTCTGATGACGTCACTAGACCGCGAACTTTTTTTTTTATTTCAAAACTAAAAATCAAATCGAAATCAAACTTGGTTTTGGACTAGAATGAAGTGCTTTTACAAAGTTATTGTGTCTTACATTTATAAAAGGAATTAAAGAAACATTTATTGCAACGAACATCGCACAAAAAAGGACAATTGAAAAAAAATACAGTAAAACATTAAGAAAGAGCAAAGGGACCCGACTCAGCAGATGTGGCCCACAGTGACGAAGGCCGCGACCAGAGTAAATAATACAAATGAGCAGGTCATCTTCATAGAAACGCACCGAGCGCGGTTTGTATGTGAGCGCGCCAATATACGTATGCGGCGCGCACGCACTCACTGACAAAATTCGGCGCAACCACGACGAATATTATGACCTACTCATCTACCACCAANTGTACATTTTCAGCTGCCTAGTGCGTGGCCTCTCTTAAGTTTAACCACACCAACGCGTGCAGATAGCCATCGCCGGCGCAATCACGGCGCGATCATAGGCCAATGACAGGTCGCGTGAACTGTCATGTTCAGCAGTATACTTCATTTCATTTGTTAAATCGGTTCTCATGGTGTATGACGTCGAACGTCGCACGTCGTTGAAGCATTAGACGATAAATAGGGATCATGGAAGAAGAGCTTTGTCCAGAAGTAGACTTCATTTCATTTGCTATCGGTTCTCATGGTATCTGACGTGGCAGGTGCCGTTCTTCGTGAACGCGACGTCGGGCACGACGGTGCTGGGTGCGTTCGACCCGCTCATGGACATCGCGGATATCTGCCAGAAGTACGACATGTGGATGCACGTCGATGTGAGTACCAAACACTTTTAAATAAACAAGTATAGAATTGAAATTGGGTAGTTAACACCAATAGCTGAAACCAGCGTCGTGGAAGAGTAAATACAAATCCCATCAAAAACATTACTTGTCAAAAAAACCAAGTCTCGCAACTCAGTTGTTCTACGGTAAAAAGTTGTGAGATCCATGTAATACCAAGTCCAGGCCAGGAAATCTTTAACGTTTTACATAAATATATTGACTTGGCCATCGCATGAAAACACGTGTAAATCAATATATTTATGTAAAACGTTAAAGATTTCCTGGCCTGGACTTGGTATTACATGGATCTCACAACTTTTTACCGTAGAACAACTGAGTTGCGAGACTTGGTTTTTTTGACAAGTAATGTTTTTGATGGGATTTGTATTTACTCTTCCACGACGCTGGTTTCAGCTATTGGTGTTAACTACCCAATTTCAATTCTATACTTGTTTATTTAAAAGTGTTTGGTACTCACATCGACGTGCATCCACATGTCGTACTTCTGGCAGATATCCGCGATGTCCATGAGCGGGTCGAACGCACCCAGCACCGTCGTGCCCGACGTCGCGTTCACGAAGAACGGCACCTGCCACGTCAGATACCATGAGAACCGATAGCAAATGAAATGAAGTCTACTTCTGGACAAAGCTCTTCTTCCATGATCCCTATTTATCGTCTAATGCTTCAACGACGTGCGACGTTCGACGTCATACACCATGAGAACCGATTTAACAAATGAAATGAAGTATACTGCTGAACATGACAGTTCACGCGACCTGTCATTGGCCTATGATCGCGCCGTGATTGCGCCGGCGATGGCTATCTGCACGCGTTGGTGTGGTTAAACTTAAGAGAGGCCACGCACTAGGCAGCTGAAAATGTACAGCTAGTTCAGAGCAGTCACAACTGACCAGTCGTGAAAAACTTGTCTGGTTGTTAATACACTAATGGCAGCCTCATACATTCGCCTTGTTGTCCGGCTCCACTTTAACTGCGAAAGCCAGGCTGCCTAGTGCCTCTCTAGGAATCCCAGTCCCCGATCAGTTTCGGCAAATTATCGCACCATCTCTTAAACGGGTAACTTGGGTTCTATATTTTTAAAGTCAACACACTCTTACAACACACAAATACACACACCACACACATACACACACCACACACATACACACACCACACACATACACACATCACACACATTCAAACAGCACGCCTAAAGTAGTATGTTTATGGAATATTTTTACGGAAGTGGGCGTTAGTAGTCGCACCACAGTTCTCTGAAACTATTGCGGCTATTATCGTACACGCTTTTTCATGTACAAATTTTCTTGTTTCCAAAATAATTTTTTTGAATTTTTAATTTGAATCTTATCTCCAGTATTGCCTGCGCTGCCCAGATTCAGACACTTCCCAGTCCGTGGTCGCCATTCTACAACTTTTTCGTTGCACCGACCATGAGTTATATGAAATCTGAATTAATTCTGCGTCTGCTGGCTGAGCCATTGACCAAAAGACTACATTCCCTCTCGGCCAAGCACATAGTTCTACTGTTGGATAGAATTGTGGATGATAAGGTATAAGACAGGGAAGCACAAAAGTTTCTAATAGGTTTTTCAGGTGCACCACGCAAAACCCGGTTTCAGATAATTATATCAGAGGGTCCATAATTGTATCTTACCTTACCAATAACACCTTTTGTAAACATTATGGAAGCAATAAACTATTGAGTATTGAGTATTGAGATAGATATAATTAAACCCACAAACATTAAAGCCTAAGCACACGATGCGTTGCGGTGGTGCGACGCCGGAGTAGTGTCGATACGTCATTTTACATACATTAGAAATATCTGTGGCACACGAGCGGTGCGGCGCCGCAACGCTTCATATGCTTTCGTTCTTCACTACACTACACTACACTACATTCCACACTCACATTCCCGCGGTCCTTGTGGTAGCGCACCATCCGTTCAAGCTCCGAGGGTATCATGCGGCCGCGCTCGTCCGAGGGCACGCTGATGCAGTAGTCCGTGCCGAGGCCGCAGACCGAGGCGCAGGACTTCACGGAGTAGTGGCACTGGGGACAAACCAGAGCGATTAGACTAAGAAACCCTGCAGTCTATTTTTTTTGTCGGAGGATAGTTGGGCTGGTAATCAGTATCAATATGGAGGTAAAGTAATGTAAAGTAAAAAGTATTTTATTTACCAACAAAAGGTTTACAAACAGTTCTTCTAGCGGCTGCTGCACTAAGCTGTGCTTGTGTCGCACGCGGCAGCCATAAGTAACACAAGTTTAACAATAAGTATTGGTGAAATATAGTAAGGACACTCAGTACATGGCAATTAACGCACAGATACTGATTTGGTGTCAGCCGTTTCCATATAAATTCTGTACTGTAGTTTGCGAGTCTAAAGATTCAAACGTGACAGAGCTCGGACGTTTAAAACTTCTCGCAGACTATAGATTTTTAGTCGACCGATAGTTTGGTCGGCTTCTAATCTAGTCTTCTAGTCTAGACAAAGTAACATTCGTAATAGTTTGGAAATATCGATTTTCCGGTTTTCATGTTTAGCCGGTGCCAAGTACAAACTTTGAACTAAATAATGATCCCCGCCCTCCTTGTGTTTCAGTGAAGAATCTTGGCACTTTTCTGTGAACTCACACGGACATCTTGAAAGAACTTGAACAATTAAGCCGAACGGTGAAGGGGTCGGAGTGGCCGACTCGAGATCCGTCGAACGCGGGTTCGAATCCCACCGCCGCTCGACTATTTAATTGTGGTGAGCCTACTCGTAACACAAATTTATTTAGCTTAACACGAGGGGTTAACGGGACTATTAGTAATTTGTGCAATACACATTGCTAATAATCTTTAAAAAAAAAATGTTTCATTTCCCTACACCACCCAGCCATTTTCATGCTCCTTTCATTTCATTCATAACATATCCCACAAAGATCTAAAGTATAAGTGATACAATTTCCTCCTGTAGCAATAATCACCTGGTCCGAGGTGAACATGACGAGGTGTCCAGGGATGCTGGTGAGCCCCTTCTCCTTGTACTGCGGGAACTTGTGGTGGCGCGCCGCCAGGAACGCGTACAGGTTTGACACGGAACCACCTGCAAGAAAAACGTCATCATCATCAGGTCATGCAGTCTCCACTGCAGGAGGACCTAATTATCAGAGCAACAGGCACCGTGCTGTACAGATTGATTGGGGAGATTATACCGTAGACTTGCCATGCAGATGCGCCAGTGAGTACTAATCAGCGCGACTTGAGTCACCCCCTGATGCTTTGCCATGATAAGGAAATTACTCTCGAGTCTCAGTTTCTGAATCTTCAATAGTTACCTATCTATTGTATCTTATTATGCTTGTTCAGCATATCATGCATAGATTGATAATTATAGGTGTACCAGAATCTCATGGCAAACAAAAATATTGGAAAAGTGTGTTTTTCATATGGCAATTGTCTATGGTTTAATTGTCACCTGTCAAAGAAAATTATGAAATCTGTCAGCCGCTGCAAAAATTTTGTAATCTCTTCTTGACTATTTGTTATTTTTGTGAAAAAATCGAAAAAGCTCAAGCAAGTCATATTGTTTTCAATGTGAATTGTAAAATAAGGCATAATTCAAAGTCAATCTTTGATTCTAAAGCGCGTCGTCGAGTTGACAGTAAGTTGGACTGAAATATTTTGATACATTTAGTTTATTTCCCAATTACGTCACAAGGAGGGTTATGTTTTTTTATATTATTCTTAATAGCTGCTTTATCGGGGTTTTCATGTATATCTCACAAATTGGTGCAGGGGAATGGTCAAAATGTTATGACCATGTAAAGAAAATTGAAAAAGATTTTATCTCTTTATTTTGATCATCTATTGAAGAACAAGAAATTGCAAGTGGAATTCTTAGAATCGTTTTCTAGTTCTGAATGAAGTGATAAGTTAAAAGTATGATGCATAATAAAATTAGTTACTTAAATTAATAATACGATTTATTTATTTTTCAAGACACATTCCCGATGTACAACATTCTTCATACACATACCTACCTAAAATGTATATTCGTACTTCATGTTCATTAATATTAAAGTCATAAAAGTAAAAAAATAAACAGTATCAAGATCGTTTATTCCAATTTCCCCAGTATTGCTCTCAACAAAGTTTATTTTCCCTATTTGCCATGAGATTCTGGTACACCACTAATAGCACATAATATTAACGTTTCAACCAAGCACGCCCACTACTGGACAAAGGATTCACCAAAGGATTTTCACAATGATCGGTCCCGCGCAGTCCGCATCCAGTCCCGCGAACTTTACTAATTTGTCCGTGATCGCTACTCAAGAAATCTATACTTATAATAAATCTGTAGAGAGGTCAATTCTGTACATGAAATATATTTTCAAAATAACTATCAGGGGGTGATTAATTATCGATATTGATGCCAAAAATGCAATCAGTAAATTTTTTGTCTGTCTGTCTGTCTGTATGTCTGTATGTACTATGTTCCTTACAGAAACAAAAACTACTCGACGGATTTTAATGAAACTTGGTACAATTATTCTTCATACTCCTGGGCAGGTTATAGTATTCCCACGGGAACGGGAATTAGCGGGTAAATCCTTTTGTATGAAAAATCTAAACCGCTTAAGTTAGACGCTTGAAATTTGGCATGCAGGTACCTTAATAAACTTAAAGCTTAGTTACAACAGGATATTGCAAAATTCCCACGGGAACGGGAGTTAGCGGGAAAAAACATTTGTATGAAAAAATCTAAACCGCGTAAGATAGATGAAGGGGGTAAAACGGGATCCACGCGTACGAAGTCGCAGGCGGCCGCTAGTTTCAAAATAAAAGAGAACTTCAGCATAACAAATCATAACCAAATAAAATTCCTGCTCATACCTGGGGCCAGGATAGAGTCGCCAGTCTTCCAGCCGATCATGTCCCGCATTTTCTGGAGCACCACATTCTCCATCAATATGAAGACCGGCGCGATTTCGTACGTGAACATATTGGTGTTGGCAGCGGCTGTCAGCCACTCGCCGGCCAGGGAAATGATGTCCAGCCCGCAGGATAGCTGGTTGAAGAAGTGGGGGTGGCCTGGGGACAAAGATAAATCATCAAGGAAAGGTCTTATAAATAAATATTTTGCTCTTAGGCTGGTTTTAGTGTCACGCGGACCGTCCTCTGTGGACCCGCTCCGCACGGCCAATCTTTATAAACTTCTAGGGAGCGTTTTAGAGTAATGCGGTCCGGAGGAACCGCTCCGCTCCCTAGTAGTTCATACAAATCGGTCGTGCGGAGCGATCCGCACTGACAGTCCGCATGACAATAAAACCAGCCTTAGAGATTAACCACACTAGCTGAAGTTGAAACAGTACCTCATACAATCGTAATTTAATAAAACGCGGCCGTAACAGCGAATTACACTTGAAAATTTCGACGGGTTCATCCATTTAAGTAGCTCAGTAGGAAGAGCAAGCGCCTGGCAAGCGAAAGGTCTTGACGATTCCCACCTTGGGCAGTTCGATTTTTTAAAGTATTAATAATTTAGTTTGAGATGCAACTCTTAACGCTACAAAAAATATTAATAAGTAGCATAGTTTGCTTCTACGAGCCGTGTAAGTCCCACAGTGTAGAGTGGGATGACCGCGGAGGGTATTGGTCGTGGTCGTGTCTTAGCAGTATTAGTACTTATTTTATTATTCTGTGGTATTAGTGAGAATACCACGGGTCGAACCCTGGACGGCCAGTTATGACCGCCTAATTTGACCAAACCATGCGTTATTACGCATTCGCATAATAAATGTTACAGCACAAATTCAACCCTACATTTCGTACCTTCTTTTACACGAAAGTAGTCAGGAAAAACCGTACCTAAATCACATTACGTGTTGATTTCTTGCGTCCAATGTTTTTTAAGATATTCGATCCCCAAAGAGTAATTTTCTCTTACACTACCAGCACCAATTTCACAGTCCACCAAACTGTCGACACCGGAAGTAATACTGCGCGCCATTTCACCGCGATTGTTCGCCGGACGTGCCGCCATGTTGGATGGAGAACACTTCCGGGATCCGTTGCAATTGGGGAAAACTATTCGGGTGTCTTTTTGAAGATTTTGGGATGTATTTTAAAATGTGTGGTGAAGTTTTAAAGTGGTTTAGCCATTTCTTACAATTGCCTTGTATCGATTTTACTTAATACTCGTAAATATTTTGAAGCGACTTTCAGTTTCAACTTGTTAAAAAGACAATGTTAAGTAATTTAGGGTGTCACGTTTATTGATATTAATAGCCTAATAGCTTATGGATTAGTCTTCATCCAATCGATTCTTATTAATTTTAATGTTCTCTGATTGGTTTCGTTGCGAATCCAATGACATTTACTTTCCTCCGGGACAAACTTGACCTTCACTGGTTGGGTTTTTATGGGCGGTCAAGTTGTAGATCCTGACTATACAGCTGTAGCTTGAGGAGAAATAGGAATAATCCCGATAGTGATTAGTCCAATAAATATCAGAATTTAACCCGTCGAAGATCCATTAAGTACAGAATGTCTATCTACCTAAGTATCATGTCATAAAAAGGTTCGAACTCTGCCATTATATTGATGCATCCATAAATAACGTGGTTAATCTAAAGAATCCCTTCTTTATCCGACGCAGATCCTTTTTATAACGTCGTTAGCCGTAAGCCGCCATCTTGCTCGTTCGGCGGGTCATATTGCGGCCGCCGTTTTTTTTTTCAATTTGACATTAGGTCGGTTATTGAATGAGGTAATTTTTGTAAAAGAGGTCCACGTAGGTATTTCCTTAGGATAATGATTATGGCGTTATAAAACTCTTTTTTTCTAGGTAAAGTAGGGTAGAGGCATTTATTCAGACTCTACCTAACTGCACGTAAGACACCTTTTTATTGCAGAATCGTTAGAAAACTACATAAATGGTCAAAGTGTAAAGCTTGATATGCCATCGACCGGTAGTTTTACTCGTAGTAAGTTTTAATAATAAATACTCCCAATGTTAATGGATGTAAATTATTAAGACTTATTAATACGAAACACATTTTTTCTGAACCTAAGTGACTTGGGTGACTTTCTAAAAGGGAAATTTTCTCTTTCATATGATTTCTTTTCTGGTTTCACGTCAGTTTTATAATCTAGAAAAAGTCAGTTTTAAATATCATGAGCATACAAAAACGTCGCCTTTAACCAAGTATTAATTCATCACCATATTTTTCCCACATAATAAACAAACCCTACAGTGAGTATAAAGTATTTATCTCGCCAGCGCTGATGATAAAAAACAATCAATCCTCTATTCACACTCCCCCGCTATTCCCGGGGGCGTGTTTTGGGTGCTAGGGTGACCACACTTTTGTAGTCCTTCAATTTGTGTTAATATTCAATAAGCAATGATAATATTTGTACGAGCACGATCGTACATACTGCTGCACCGTCAGCATCGACCGCCGGGCGACCCATGAACCCTCAACGTGCACCGTCGGCACTCTACACCGACGACACACTAACAAATACCAATGAATGCGTATAGTAAATAAAATAATGCTAAGTCGGACTCCACATTAAAGGTTGTGGGAGTACACTGCTGTACTCGAAGCATGAACAAAATATCAATATTAATCATTTTATCTGTATGAAAAACAAAACAGCACCGCTACGGTTTTGTATGGAATACGATGCCATTACGAGAGTCATTCGTGCTTACACTCATAAGGCCACAATATACGATTTATCTTTCATCTAGTACTGCCAGTTATTTTCTTAAGGCCATCTTCTCATTGATGAGAACGGTCTTTAAAATGGCTACTTATTTGTGACCGTACTGCTTGTGATATCCGTTTTTTTTTTATGCAAAACAAGGCAAGCATTTAACCGCAATCGCACCTGATGTTAAGTGAGATGCAATCTAGGATGTTTATAACTGTTTTAATTTTAACATAATTATTTTATTTTACTAAAGATTTTTTATCAGCTTCAAACTTGATACCTCCCGAGTCTATAGAATCGTGGCACTCGTGGTCACCCTCGTCTGCAAGTTTTATTTCGCAATTTCCTCTTTTTATCAGTCGGCCGACCGCGGTCATGTTACCTTGGAAAGGCAGTGGGGTCGTAGATATCATTCTTATGAAGGCCTGATAAAAATATGCTGCTATCTAAATTCCTATAAAAATTGCGATGGCATAAAAGAGCGACAGTACTAATATACATTCAAATGTTTATAGGTAAATTGTTAGTTGGGAGAGGCATGTGTCAAGACGATGAACTTCTCTGACTAATATTACTGTATAATTCTTTCTTTTCGTATGGTAGTCGTCAATGTATATCTATCAGTTTGTACATGTCTTTAGTTATTTAATATTATTGACTCTACATAGACTGAAATTCCCAAAATTATAATATTAAAGACCAGTTTATAGTCAATATTAGTCAGCCATAATGTTGCAAAATTCCGCACTAGAATTTGTGCCACATCTATGCGAAGAAAGCAATGGTAAAAGAATATTATGTTCCCACAACCTTATCTATTTAACCGCCTCTTCCTAGTAATTCAATGTTATTCAACCGACTTCCCCAAAGTCCCCAGAGTAAACCAATCTTATCGTGTGCCCCAACACGACAATACATCTAATTTGAATTCCCTGTTTTGATTTCATCCCGTCCTCTGGTCGGGACGATAAACCGGCCCAGGGGAATGTAGTGTATCAATTGACAGTTTTTTTGGGATTTTAGGGTTGAATATGTCTGTAAAAGTGATGTACTTTTACTTGATAGAGGCACGGTAATGTGGCGCAAATTAATGGAGCAATATGGTATAATTTATGAATAGTCTCCTACGAGATATTTAAAAACCAGGTTTTCACCAAAGCGGAGCGGAGAGGAGCAGAGCACAAAAGTGTCAGGCCGTCAAATTATTCTATAGTTTTTGACAGCGGCGGAAAAAGGAGAAGTGGAAATAATGAAATCTGATTGGTTATCCAAAACACTACTCCGCTCTGCTTTGATCCGCCTTGTGGAAACCGGACCTTATAGCACCAAAAACATTCTCATGATAAATGTTGCCAAGAAGAGGCATTAATGGTAATGACACGGTACGGGACTATTCCCACCTCTCGTTCCCACCACTGCAACTCCTGTGTAGCCAGGATCTACAGCTTGACCGCCACAAAAACCCAACCAATGAAGGTCAAGTTTGTCCCGGGGGAAAGTTAAACTGTCATTGGACCCGTAACGACATTAATCAGAAGAACATAGGAGGAGTTCGAAATTAAGGTACGACTTCCCTCCATTGCAAAGCGGATGACAGGTGACAAACAAAGGTTTAAAACCTTTAAGAAAAAGATTATGCACCACGGACAATAAATTAAATTAAGGGGGCCTATCTTATGAGCAATTAGCAACTACCTGCCAATAATATTTTTCACAAAATCGCTTAAAAGCACGGAAATTTTTCCTTGTCGCGACAAGATCGGTGTAATAAATTGCGGAAACAGATGTATGTTGTATTGAATTAAGCATTATATCACGTTCATGTTTCCAAAGATCACACTCCCACAAGATATGATGGGCAGACTGCTCATGACTGACATCATCAGTGGAACACTCGCAAAAAGGAGACGGAACTAGTTTGAATTCGTGAAGTTTATGTTTAAAGTTGCCATGTCCCGTGAGGAACTGCGACGAGCAATGGTCGATTTCTAACCATCGCCTAGTTAGACGTTCGCGTACATTCGGGAAGAATTTATATAAGTGACGTCCTTTGACTGACGTATCCCATCTTTTTTGCCATTCATTAAGTAAATCACATAAGTAATGACACGGTAGTGTGAAAAAGTTATCAGATCTCATGTAGAGTCAACACGCCCTAACTCTACAAGCCCTAAGAATAAGAATGTCTTTATTCAGCACAATTTAAGGTATATGTACAAAGCAACAGTATACATAAAAGATAAATAAAAACATATGCTGAATAGATGCCCGCTCAGCAAAAATCGCGACATGACACAAACGTCATGCCGAGAAGCTGGTTTTCAGCGGGAACCAATGCGTGATGAGGATTGCGCGCCCTTCTGGTCGAG